GCTTTCATAGCTTGAATTGATAAGTCAGCTGTAATTCTGATGGGCTTCCCTGTGTATGTGACTTGTTTTTCTTTTGCTGCTTTCAATATTCTCTCTTTGTTCTGTACATTTAGTGTTTTTACTATGATATATCATGGGGAGTTTCTTTTCTGATCTTATTTGGTGTTCTATGTGCTTCCTGTATTTGTATGGGGATGTCTTTCCTTAATTTTGGGGAATTCTCTTCTAAAATCCTGTTTAAGATCTTGTCAACACCATTAACCTGAAATTCTTCTCCTTCCTCTATTCCTATGATCCATAGATTTGGTCTTTTCATGGTGTCCCACATCTCTTGCATATTCCATTCCTGTGTTTTTAAATTTTTTTCCATACTCTTTGCTTGAGTGGTCCAGTTCTTCAACTTTATCCTCCAGTGTTGATATTCTGTTTTCCATTTCATTCATGCTAGAGGTGAGGCTTTCCCCTGTTGTTTCAAGTTGACTTACTGACTTTTGCACTTCATTCTTCATTTCTGCCTGCGTTTTCTTCAATGTTTATCTCTTCTGTGAATTCATTCAGAAATGTATCCCTATCTTCTTTTAGCTCTTTGATTCATTTGTTCATGTGTTCTTTAAATGCATTGAATTCCTTGATCATGTTTATGAGTGTTCTTTTAAATTCAGTGTCCTGGGTTATTTCCATGGGGTTCTCCTTGTAGAACTCTTCTACAGGATTGGTGGGCTCATAGTGTTTTGGCTTTCCATTTCATTGTCTTTTGCTGTGATTTTGGCATGTGAATTTCTTTTGTTGTTTGTGATTCTGATATTAAAATTAATTTTAAGTTTGCTTCTGTTTGCATTATTGGTGTGCTTTGGTCGTTTTCTTACTGGTTATATAAAGCTGGTTGGTCCAGGTTTCAGGTTCTCTCAGGTTTTATTTTGGCAGGAACTGTTGGCTTAGGCTTCAGATCAGCTATTCAGGGGTACCCACAGAAGCCCAATTCAGGTTCCTGTCAGGTACACTCAGGCTTCCTTCACCATGTGGAGGCAGAATCCAAGGTCTCTCAGGCCTATGTAAACCCCATGTGTATTGTAAACCCTGTGCCAGAGGGAGGGCAGAGGGGGGCCAGAGCTCAACACTCTCTGGTGGTCTGCTGAGATCCCAGCCCTACCAAAGCCAGATCTGCCTTGGGGTCTTTGCAGGGGCCTCACAAAATCCCAGGAACGGGGATGGTATGGCGCAATTAGGGGAAGCTTACCACCATGTGGAGGCAGGATGTGAGGGTTTCAGGCCCTCTGGTAGTTGGAGGCCAGAGGGAGGCCAGAACCCCACACTCTCTGGCGGTCTGCTGAGCTCCAAGCAACTACCCTGATGGAGGTCTGAACCACCCTCTCAGGCTGTCCGCTAGGATCTCAGCCTTACCCTACCAAAGCCAGATCTGCTGTGGGGCCTTGGGAGGGGCCTCACAAAATCCCAGGTAGGGGGATGGTATGGCCCAATTAGGGGAAGCTCACCACCACGTGGAGGCAGGATCCAGGGACTGTCAGGCCGTCCCCTGGGTTCTCAGTCCCTCTGGTAGTTGGACACCAGAGGGAGGCCAGAACCCCACACTCTAGAGGTCTGCTGAGCTCCGAGCAGCTACCCCAATGGAGGTCCAAACCACCCTCTTCATGTGTGTCATTTAATTATTGGCATAACTGCATAATGACACATAACTTCAAAAGTGCCATTGATGGCACCTTAAATTCAATGAACTGTCATAGGAATAGCCTCTTTGTGATAAGCCTGATGACAGCACTGTTTCCTATTTGTCATTTCACTTGTTCTTTTTTATAGACTTTATGCAGTTGGTGGTCGTGATGGAAGTTCTTGTCTCAAATCAGTAGAATGCTTTGATCCTCATACTAATAAATGGACGCCGTGTGCCCAGATGTCAAAAAGGAGAGGTGGCGTAGGAGTAACAACCTGGAATGGACTGCTGTATGCTATTGGAGGACACGATGCTCCTGCATCCAACCTGACTTCCAGACTCTCGGATTGTGTGGAAAGGTAACTTCCTGTGAAAGAAAACTAAGAGCAAACAAACAAAGTCAAGTTTCTGACACTTCCAGACAAATTAATAACCCCCTATCAAGCATCCATCACATTCAGTGTGGTTTCTGAGGAGCTCTGTGAGCATAGATTGTCTGCTCCAGCTATCTCTCCATCTGTCTCCCAACTGCCTTCTTGGATCCTTGTCTCATATGGTACCTGCTTACTCAAACTTTACCTTAGGACCGAACATGTAATGCATCAGTTGAGGCCTACAACAAGCATTTATCAGTTACCTATTTGTACTGGAGAAGCACCTTGTCAGAAAAGTAAAGGAGCTTGATGAATCTCAGAAAGAATGAGTTAGGGGCTGGAACCTAAATAAGAAGTGAAAAAGGCCGTGCATGGTGGTATGCACCTTTAATCTCAGCCCTTGGGATGCAAAGGCACGTGGATCTCTGCAAGATCAAGGCCACCCTGGTTCATATCGTGACTTCCAAGCCAGTTGTGACTAGGGAGACTAGGAAACCTTGTCAAAAAACAATGAACAAAAAAAAAGTGAAAAGAATGGAGCCATCTTGGCCCATTTTGATATCAAATGAAATAAATAATGTAAAATGGATAAATGCTATGACAGCCTTGCCAAGCCATCCATACTGGGTATGAGAAACTCAAGTGTTAGGGCAGGTCGAGTGAAGAGGAAGATGTGGCTGGTAAGCCAAGCTTCCATCTCATGTGTTCAGTCTAGTTTACAGAATAGAGATAATGGAATGCATCTTAGAGGAAAAACCAGTAGACTCGTGTGAACACTCCAGAAGAGAAAAGCATGTCATTCATACGGGAAATAGAAGAGACCAGAGAACAGAGTGATGGGGAATGGCAGAGAAGGAGGCAGGGTGGTGTCAGGATCACATGGTGTCTTGAGGCATTAGTGAAGATTTTAGATTTTAAGGAGGAGTAGGAAGTCAATGAGTGCCAAAAAGAGAGAGCTGATCATATTTCTTAAGATTAGATTCATTCACTTAGTAAGTTATAAATGACAAAAAGGGTAAAAATTAAAGTCAAGTTTTGTTAATGGTACTGAGAAGTCTCTGGAATAATAGTCAGACCTGGGTGTTGTTTTCAGAAAGCAGTTAAGTCACACCTGCATTTCAATATGTTTTATTAACATCACAACTAAGATAGAAGATAGACTTGAAGGACAAAGCTGTTTTTACATAAAATTCTTCAAGAACAGTGACAGCTCCAGTTGTAAAATTTTCTTTCAGATATGATCCCAAAACAGATATGTGGACTGCGGTGGCTTCCATGAGCATCAGCAGAGATGCGGTAGGGGTCTGTTTGCTTGGCGACAAGTTGTATGCTGTAGGGGGGTATGATGGACAGACCTACCTGAATACAGTGGAGGCTTATGATCCCCAGACAAATGAATGGACCCAGGTAAGACATTTCATTTTTCATTATCACACTTACCCTCTTATTGTGCAAACTGTTCTTTTGATAAGGAAGAACCTCTCAACTTTATCCAATATTGGCATATATCACACATGTGATAAAGTCACTAAATATGAAAAACCAAGAGGCAGTGTTTATAACAAAATCCCAACTCCTTTGAAATGTAAAATAATATTCAGAAAAATTGTTAATTGATCTGCCACTTGTTTGATGAAATATTCTAGCGTTGGTAATATTGATAGGACCACAGGAGGGCTGTTCCCAAAGAGCAGGAAAAACTGTACAAAATAAGCAGAGCAGCAGCCAGAAAATGGGAGCAGTTTATCCAGACCTGAGCAATACATTTTAAATATTCACGTCACTGAAATTTGCAAATCCCTGAAATTTGGGAGCAGGTTAAATTTCTGGTCATAGTCTAATAAAGATGGCAACCCTAAATTACATTAATAAGTGAGAAATTTGACCTGGTAAGCTTACTAACAAAAGGAATCTAACTACATCTCTTTCTGGGAAGGCCCCATGTTTTGGGGAAAGCATGGTAGCAGAAATCTGAGGCAGTGGGTCACATTATCTGCAGTCAGGAAGTGGAGAGCAGTGTACACTGATGTTCCCTTTCTCCTTTTTAATTGAGTCCAGGACCCCAACCTGTGGGATGGTGCCATCCATATTCAGGGTAGGTCTTCCCTCCTAATTAAACCTCTAGAAATGTCCTCAAAGACACATTCAGAGATTGTTTCCTAGGTGTTTCTAAACTCCAGTCAAGTTGACAATGAAGATTAATTAATCATCAGACCCAGCTTGGTGAAAGATGACAGTCTTCATCCAGAAAGGAGTATTTTAAGTGAAAAAAAAAAGAGTAAAATAAATGTACTTAAGATGATATATCTTGGATCTTATATCTTCAGTAAATTAGATGGCTCAGTGGAAGAAGAGACAACATTGAGGACTTGAATTAGAACAAGATTTCTTTAAATACTGTATCATTAATTAGTGTCAACCTTCCACCATGCCAGAAACAGATAAGAATGACAGTCATGGAGCCCAAAGAGAGGTTCAAGACACTCTCTCAGAGGTGTATTTAATTTAAGCCTTAGGCTGTTATAGGAAATTGCTGGCTAGTGTTTAAGACTACTTATAGATAATTAATATGCTATGCTAAATCACTCAGAATCAAAATCAATAATCTGTGGCCACACAGCTGTCTGGTTCAGATGCCACTGCCTCTATTGCTTTTTGAAAGCACCTAAAAAATGTGAACTTAGAACCATAGTACCTGAAAAAGAAATGCTTTCCTTTTAATGTTTTGACAAATGGATAAGAGAGGACATTTATAGAGAGGCTGAAACAAGACTGCAAAGCCTTAAGCCACTATCCACCCCAGCATTATCCCAAAGCAGAAGGTAATTGCATTATATTTAATAAGTTGACTGAGTTAAACTGTCTAGCTGGTTGTTGTGGCACCAATTCACACTGTAGACTTAGAGTCTTGAGGAAAGCTGCTAATTACAAACGACTTTTTTTTATTTAAATGACTTAGAGGTTATCACTTCTGTAGTTCTATAAATAGATGTGGTTTAAAAGAGATTACTTCATTACTCAAGGAGTTACAACTGTGATCCAAGCAACTGATTCTGAGCCAGATATGGGTTGGCATAAACTTGTAATCCCAATACTTGGGAGGCTGAGAAAGGAGCATTTTAGACTAGCCTGGGAAAAAGCAAACTGGTGGCTGGAGAGATGGCTCAGCAGTTAAGAGCAGGTATTACTTTTGCAGAGGACTCATGTTCAGTTCCTAGTACCCACATTGGGCACCTCACACCACCTGTAACTCCAGTTCTAGGAGCTCTAACACCCTCTTCTGAACTCCACAGGACTTGCACTCACATGCACATACATACACTCACGCACACACACACACGCACGCACACACACACACACACAATTTAAGGTAACTTTTCAAGGGGGGCTGGAGAGATGGCTCAGTGGTTGAGAGCACTGGCTCCTCTTGCAGAGGACCTGGTTTCAGTTATCATCACCCACCTGGCAGCTAACAACCATCTGTTACTCCAGATCCATAAGATCTGACGCCCTCTTCTGACCTCAACAGGCATTGCATACATGTGCAGGCAAACACCCATGCACATAAAAAAGTAAAAATAACTAAATCAAAACTGTCTTCAGCTAATGAGATTGAAAATAAGAATTTTCCCATAATTGAAGTATAATCCATTCTTAAAAACCACTCATGGAAGGGGTTCCAACTGATTAGGAAGTCATTGTGATATTGGGGATTTAACAGAAACTCTCACATACCCTAAGATGTCACTACAAAGCAACTTTCTTAATATTTTGCATTAGTCAACCCCATCCCCAAAATCTTAACTCTATCTCCCCTGGGTCAAATACATAGATTCTTACTGTGTTGCAAGTAATTCAAAAACCATTTTGTCCACACTTGTTTCAAGAGCATTGTTTTAGACATTAAGTGAAAGATTTAAGAATTGGTCCTTATTCATAAATAAAGACCATATTCTTTCCTCTTGCACCAGCCGCACACCTCCATCTCACTACCACACATCTTATTCACCAAGTTTGTTTCTACTCCTAGGGCATTAGATGACCAATGTCTGTTGTTTATTAACTATGCTAAAAAGTATTCTAATGAGTTTCAAGTTAGTAACCCTGCACATAGAAGGCATTCAACACATATGAGAAGTGGTTCTTTTGGAGTAAACAGATCCCCAGGTGTCCTAGTTTTATTTCTGTTGCTGTAATAAAAATACTCTGTCAGAAAAAAAAAGAAACTTGGGGGAGAAAGGGGTTTATTTTAGCTTATAATTTCAAGTTACAGTCCATCCATTCAAGGAAGTCATAAGGGCAGGAACTGAAAACAGCTGATCACATGACATCCACAGTTAAAGCAGAGAGAATGAGTGTACACAAGGCCACGTTCAGCTCAGTTTCTCCACTTAGACAGTCCAGAACACAACCCAAGGAAAGGTGCTGCCCACTTTTAGGCTGGGTCTTCCTACACCAATTAGGGTAATCAAGACAATCCTCCACAGGCCTGTCCACAGACCAACCTGATATAGGAAATACCTCATTGGTATTTTCTTCCCAGGTGTTAAGCTGACTATTGAAAGCAGCCATCACACCTGACATGCCTATAGACTTTTTGTGCACTGTCTCTAAGGCTGTTAGAAAGAAACTCTGTGCTTAATACTTGATCATTTCTCCACATTACTCAAACTTTCTTTAGGTGGTGAGCATTTTTTCCATACTCATCTTGTAAACAATTCTGACCAAGCTACAGAATTTCATGTAGACTAATTACTGAGGTTTTTTTCTTTTAAGACACCTTTAAAGAAGAGAGAAAAGTATATAATCATGCCATGCACCCAAAACAATTTAGTCTGAAACTGAAATTGAGGAAGGGAAGGGAAGAGGGGAAGGGGGAGGGGAGGAAAGGACCAAGGCAGCAGTAGGGCTGGGGCATCAGGCCTTTGCTAACAAATACAGACTATTTCAGCATTACACTGATGGGTATAGTATTATCCACATTTTTCTCCAAATCCAACACTTAACCTCTTTTGTTTCTTTTTCAGGCTGCTCCACTGTGTCTAGGAAGAGCTGGAACTTGTGTTGTGACTGTGAAATTATAACTTAATTCTTTGTTTTCTAAATGAAGATATCCTCTTCTTTATGAATATAGTACAATTCTACCAGTGGATACATTTTTAGTGAAAGTGCAATTCCACATTCCTAGGCACAACGTGCCTTGTTTCAAAATAAAGATGTTGAAACAAGAGAGGAAGGAATGGATGGTCCAGGTTTAGAGACTTCGTCTCTTAGTACATCAAAACTGTGCCTGGTGGATTGGGAACATACCTTCTTGATTTAAAATATGAAGACAAATGCACTGTTCTAGAGCAATCCAGTGTTGACTGGGAAATTCATCTATTCGTAGTCAGACACATTTTACTCACATTGTCCAATTTATTACAGTACAAGTGTATAAACTTCTAAGATACTATTTTGGAAGTATCATACATGAGCTTCAGTAATTTTTTTGAAAATCACTATTTTAATGACATACTAAAGATGGTACTGTCTAGTTTTTTTCAGGAACAACTACATTATATGTCTAGTTGTGAATCTTATTACTAAAATTGGTTTATCCCAATGAATGAAGAGAAACACTAAGGCATTAAAACAAGACTGACCAAATAAAAATTTGGTAGGATCTTTGGGTCCAGCTTATATTCATTCCATTACCTCCAGATTCTCCAAGAACTACATGTGATCGTCTACAATTGAAACTAAAGCAGAATGCTTTACACTAAATTTAACATATGCAAATTTATGTAGAGAAAATAAATATTATATAATATATAATGTTCTTTTGCTTAACTAGTATTTTGTTATATGCATTTATTTTCTTTTATATTACAAAGGATTATTTGATTTTAGTCTTTGATACTGACACACTTGTTCGGATATTCTTTTGTTCTGAAGTCTGTGTTTTCATCTCCTGCCTTGTTTCTTACATTTTGCCAGTTAGTAACCCATTGTGTTTATAATCAAAAAATGTGGGGGAATGGGCTAATTGAATGTTTGAGAAAATAAGTTTAAAGTGTTTGTTACTCAAAATTTTGTACATTTGTAAACTCTAATTACATATGTGAATGTTAACACTCTAAGTGAATTGTTTATTGTTTGTAAAAATGCCCTGAGCAATAACATTTTGTGAAATTTCCTATACGGTATAAGTCATTAACTTAATCTAAAATGAGTATAAACTAAAATTCCATCTTTCAAAGTACATTGCTATGGTTATTGTATTATTATTTTATATTAGAATAGCCTTTATTTTAGTTGTTTTCTTAAGAAGTCATACACAATCCCTCCTTGAACTGATCTTGAATGCATTTGAAATGTTTCCACCTTGGAATCCAATAAATTGACTACCTGGATTCCCACATCAAATCCTAATAGACAGTTTTTTTTTTCCTTAGTCCTTTTTGTTGTTGTTGTTTTTGGTCTTTTTGAGACAGAGTTTCCCTGTAGCCCCAGCTAACCTGGAACTCACTGTGTAGACCAGGCTGGCCTTGAACTCACAGAGATCTGCCTGCCTCTGCCTCCCAACTGCTGGGATTAGAGGCATATGCCACCACACCCAGCCTTTCCTTAGTCCTTTGACTAGTGTGACAGTGGTTTGTCATGTACTAATATTTCTTATGCTACTTAGATGATGGGTAGAAATTCGGTTATTTCCTGGGGAGAGGTCAGCTGTGGTAGATTTCTGTATCTCGGAGAAGGATTTCAGTAATGAAATCCTTGGTGCAGTCTTGCCTCCCTGAGGACGTCATTCCTTGGAGCACTGATTAGGCGTTCTAGTTCTGAGCCACAGTGGAGACCAGGCTAGCATTTAAATAAAGGAACCAGTTCTCTCTACACATCACCTTCCTCTATGTGTTACCTATACTTGTTAAGGTCCTTCTAATGCACTTGGCTAGTAATAGCACTTGCTTTTCTGGATACTGTTAGAGAAACCAATTTCTATTCAGATAATGAGGCATTTTCCTAGAGGCCCAGGGTCTTCAAAATCTAGGGAAACTATGGCTCTTCTTTGTATTACAGCCTGTTCATCAAGATGCCCAGATGCTGTTTTAATCACAATTAATAACCACATTTTGAAAAATAATACTTGCTAATAACTATCCAATGCTTATTATGAACTAAGGGTTTTTCTTTTTTTTTTCATTAATGCACTTAATTCTTTTTTTTTTAAGTCTTTTTGAAACAGGGTCTCCCTGTAGCCCCAGCTGGCCTGGAACTCACTGTGTAGACCAGGTTGGCCTTGAGCTCACAGAGATCTGCCTGCTTCTGCCTCCCAAGTGCTGGGACTACAGGCATGCGCCACCACACCTGGCTTTATGCACTTAATTCTTAATCTTTAAAACAACCATTATTATTATTATTATTGGTTTTTTATTATTTTTATTTTATGTATATGACTGTATTGCCTGCATGTATGTAAGTGCACCCATGTCATGCAATTCCCACTGAGGTCAGAAGAGGGTATCGGATCCCCTGGAACTGGAGTTACTGATGGTGGTTAGCTGCCATGTGAGTGCTGGGAATTGAACCTGGGTCCTCTGCAAGAGTAACCAGTGCTCTTAACCCCTGAGCCATCTCTTCAGCCCCTATTTTTGTTTTTTTAAGCAGGGTTTCATGTAGCCTAGGCTGGTCTTGAACTCACTCACCACTGAGGATGGCCTTGAACTCCTGATCCTCTTGCCTCTACCTCCCGAAAGCTTAGATTACAGGAATGTGCAACCACAGCTGGCTCACAACCTCATGAGGTGGACTTGATTATTATACTCTTTATTATAGTTAAGGAATTGAGGCACAGAGAGGTTCACCCAAGATTATATAGCAAGTTAGTGGAAGAGTAGGGATTCAAGTACAGACCGTCTGACAGAAGTCTTCATACTTAACATTCTGCCTCAAGTTAAAAAGAAAAGGAGGTTTCATTTTATGTGAGGAATCATTTATTTTCATAAAATGAACAATTAAGAGGGTTTATGCTCTTTAGGAATAAAATTTATACTAATACCCATCAAAAAATTAAAATTTCTTAGTACTGATGAAAAACTTTTATTTCTATCTCATAGAATTTTACATATATTTTTTTAGGAAAGTAAATGCATAAAGCATGACATTTCAAATGTATATTTTAAATTTTATTTATTTTATGTGTATGAGTGTTTTGCCTGCATGTATGTAAGTACACCCATGTTGTGCAATGTCCACAGAAAAAGAGAGTGTTAGATCCCTTGGAACTGGGTTACAAACGGTTGTTAGGTGCCACGCGGGTGCTGGGAACCAAACCTGAGTCCTCTGGAAGAACAGCCAGTGCTCTTAACAACTGAGCCATCTCTCCAGCCCTTGATGCAATTCTTTTAGAAAGTTGTAAGACATTAGTTATTAAAGTTAAATATAGGCCTGTTCTGTGGCATGGTATTTCTAGTATTGGGTATCTGCCCAAGAGAA